GTCCCAGCTACTCGGGAGGCTGAGGCAGAAGGATCGCTTGAGCCCAGGAGTTTGAGGTTGCTGTGAGCTAGGCTGACGCCATGGCACTCTAGCCCGGGAAACACAGTGAGACTTTGTCTCAAAAAAAAAAAAAAAAGAGTGCATGACAGAAAATAATCAAGTAAAGTTTCAAAGACATTTCATTCTGTTACCTCTAGTGCATGTATGGGAATTGAGCACCTCCCCCAACCATTGAGATGACAAAGAGAGTCCACAGTGCTGGCACTTCCATGGATCATTAGTCTGTTTAAAAACTCCTCTTGAGTCAAACCAAACAAAATCAGAGAGAGTCCATTTTCTACAGGAAAAAATAAAATTAGCTTTAATAAATTATTCGGACTTAAGATTTTAGGATTATGACTTAGGAATTAATTTCTAATTACCTAATACCTTAATATCATAATTACAAATATATTTACTGGACACCATGTACTATTATGAGGTCCAATAAATATATATCATTATATATTATTTACTTTAATTAACTCATCTTGGTTTTTCAATGTTTTTAAAGAAAAGTTTTATTTTTGAAACACTGACAAGGCAAATTCTCCTAGGAACAATGCATCTTAGGAAACAGCACTAAATCTCACACTTCTACTTAATATTATCTTGCACAATCAATACCTGGAACTTTTAATTATTTATAGAGATGTCAGATTTCTGGTTTACTAAAATAAAACAATGAATAGCATATTCCTGACACACAGAAATACATGATTACCAAAATTTGGGTACTGAAGAAAAAACATATGGTTAGTTCAATCACAGCATTCAATATCTTTGTAGGAGATTATGGAATAAATGTTGACTAAATGCATAGGTGATGTATCAAAATGCCCCATTCCTACAGGGGCCAAGCAGGTGATGAGAAAAGTGCAAGAAAAACCTATCCAGAAATAAGATGGTCCATCTAAGAGAACAACTGAAACTCAGCTCCAACCCATAAGCTACTATGCAGGAATGCAGGCTCCTGTTGTATGATCTTTTTTTCAGCAAGAGCAGCTGGAAATTCAGATTTTGTGTGAAATCCTCTAATTCTGCACGTTTATAATAAATAAAATCTATTTTAAAAGCCTAGTGCAAGCCAAACAAAATAAATATTCAGTTCATACATGACCCATGAGCAGCCTGTAACCTCTGCTTATACAGACTGAAGTCAAATGAAGACTCTGGCTTAAAAATCAACCTTCCTTTCCCTTAAACTTTCTCTTAGTATCTCAGCACTTAGCTGGGCAGAAATTAAATCAAACATGAGACACTGTTACTAAGAGTAACACCAAATTTCTTCCATGCACAATTGTCACTTAGAGGTGAGAGTAGGCATGTGCAGGCACCAGGGCAACAGAAGTAAAATACAGGGTGTCCCAAAATTCTCCACACAAAGGAAAAATTTTGTAATGAATATTTTGTAAGTAAAGGTACATTTAGCTATAATTTCCCATTTTCCCTATGTATGGGGACTTTGGGGCCACTTGGTACATTAAGAAAGCATACCTTTCAGCAATGGATTTCAATCTGATACAAGACATTCTCACCTGTCAAAATGAGGCACAGTTGCTGGTCTTCACTACTGTCTACAGGAATACACTTTTTGCCAAGGGAAAAATACTGCATGCCCTGGGTCTCCAAATCCCAGAGGACAATGTTGTAGCCCGTCTTTTCCACTGTCCAAGTAAATAGTACCGTGAATCCTGTCACAGACACACATTTCAATTTGATGGGTTCCTCTTGTTCACTAATGTGCATTATCTTCCATGATCTTCCTGGATCACTGGTCTTGGCATGATCTTTCTGTAGAAAATTGTATTGCCCATGCATTATGTCCTGTGGAATGAAAGCCCAGCTTGGCACACTGGTACTGTGGTTACCAGATTCAGGGGACTCCAAATGCAAAATATCCCGGAACCATGGAGCACAACAGGAAACCTCCAGTTTGGAGCTTTTTATTGTTTCATTTAACGACGATAGCTGTGCTTTCCAAGACCTGGAAGATAGGGTAGTGCTTAACATCTATTACAGTGAAAGGCATTATGTAAAACACTAAACCAGGACACGCGCGCGCGCGCACACACACACACACACACAAAAGATCTTTAAAGTAAAGATCTTTAAAAGGTATAGAGTCAGCGTGATAAAAAATGATAACGAACTAAATCAAAAGGAAGTTTCTGTACCTATCAACTTGGAAGGAAAACTTGGTCAGTTTCATGTTGTAGTCAGAGTTAACAGGATCATCTTCATCTATCCCCTTTGGGCCTTGAATTGGAAGGTCTTCTAGCAGTCTTTCACGCAGTATGTGCCCTGGGTATTGCCTACATTTAAAAACAATGATAGCCATAGTGAAAAATGATGACTAAACTCAAATTTGTGTTACTATTGCCCCTATTAAAAATAAGGGCACAGGCCGGGTGCGGTAGCTCACACCTGTAATCCTAGCACTCTGGGAGGCCGAGGCGGGTGGATCATTTGAGCTCAGGAGTTCGAGACCAGCCTGAGCAAGAGCGAGATCCCATCTCTACTGAAAATAGAAAGAAATTAACT